TATAACCTTATAATCAGAACTTTCATCATGTGACTCTTCTTCCAGAAGTGAATTTTACTTAAAATCATCAACATTAGTGTAACGTCTTGGTCAAGTGCCTTTGTTACAAATTTTCTCTACGCTGTTTCTGAAATCGTTGGGTCAGTGCTATTAACACACTGCGAAGCACTTCCTTGTGAATTTGTTCATTGGATATTTTTCTGGTGAAACTTTCTCTGTATTTTTTCCTCAATTTTTACTTTCAGTGATTTAATTGCATCACACAGACTCCTCCTTGTTTATAAAGAGCTCTCAGTACCAGATCATGAATGAAGAATAAAAAAGTAATGTTGTAGCTAGAAAGATTAACAAAACTAGGTGTGCATCATTATAAACAATGTACCTTAACCAAAAATGAGGCAAATATGGTCAAACTTTCATTAAAAGTTTGAAAACTAAATGAATTCGAGAATCACATTCAGTTAATATCGTAGTCCGAAAATGCCTGGAAGGTAACTAGAAAACTAGATTTAAAAATTTCATATCCTTGTGAAACGTGAAGTTTCTACTTACAATTACCAACTTACTTTTCAAGAAGTATGCTTTTACTAATACAGATTTAAAGTGCGCACCTCGACAAATTGTGTCCGCAGCACATGCGGTTCTACTGCTCGAGAGAGCAAAACTATTTACCTCGAAAAATTTACCACTTTTCTTAGTGGGAGAATTGCGACTCGTGACACGTGACACTTGTTCACGTTCAATGAAAGGAGTGTCGTGATTCCCCATTCCTGTCCTGATCGGAGATCGATGAAGGAGATATTTTGCTATCCCTTTCATGTGAGGTGCAGCTTCTGAAACATGTTTTGACTTTGGAATTTTTGCCAACACTGGCCCACTGTGCGCCATCTGGAAGAGAATGCTACCGGCCGGCTGCTGTGATGGGCTGTTTGTCCTCAATCTCACCCGCTAATATGTGGTGAATGCTGGAGTAGTACCCTTACAAGCAGGCCATAGCTCACGCGCGAACTTTCGCTCCTATTTATCGTACCCTTCTCATCCTCTTTACAGACGCTCACTCTTACCTTAACATTTCACTACCTACCACACATGTTGGGAGACCAATCAGGAGCTTCCACCAGCTGGGCGACCCAGATGAAGAAGGTACCTGAAGAGGGAAAACCTCGCAAGTCACTATATTGGTCAGCTCCGAAGCTGTCTTTCTAAAGGCGGTAGAACACCACCTCATCCAGGTTATAGCATGCACTACACAGTTCGGGCTATTGACCAAAGTAGTTAGCGCGCCCGGAAGTACAAAATACGAACTCACCGTTTCAGTTGAGACGCACCAGCGGCTGTGGAAAATGCAGTACCCCTCGTGGTTCCCTCGCTTCCCCACCCTACCCCTTGCAACCCCTGACCTCCCCTAGATTCCTCCCTGACATCACGTCCTTTCTCCTTGTCCCGTCCGCCCATCACCTCCGCCTCGCCGCGGGTTCGCCTCCTCCCCGGCCTGTCCCCGCTCGCCTCCTCCCACATGGCGCGTCACCGCTTCCTCGCTCGACGCGGGCGGCGGCGGTGAGACCCTTAGCTTTCAGGGGCGGCTCTCAAATAGGGGAGCATTTGCCCTCTCACTCGCTTTGAAGCTTCTGCAATTTGGAAGTATTCGATTCTTATAATATTGGGCCGTAAACCGCTTGAGAGTGTATTGTAACATGTATGTTGTGGATGATAGAGTTACTTTC